AGCATATAAAGAAATGCAAAGCAGATTAATCTAACCAAAACTCAGATCTAAAATCCGGGAACATGAAAATCTGTAAAGGAATGAAAAAATCTGCACCCCACCTATAAAAATCAGCCACGAACAAAACAAACAATCATTAGCAAACATGTACATATTTCAAAAAACAAATAAAAAGATTATAGTGAAACTTCCAAATTATCAATGACTAAATAAATTTTTAAAAACATAGCCAAAGAAGACTAATTTATTTAACCAAAAAAAAGTATTGCACCAAACCTGCAACAATAATCGAACAGAGAACACAAACAAAAAAAGATGAAGAAGATGATGAATCAAAAGAGCAAAATAGAAAACCCAACCAAAATCCCCAATGGACACAACAAAAACATGCACGAGAACAGTAAAAATCTCACCCAAATTCCTTAATCGAAAGAGAAAAGGAGTAAAAGATAATTAAAAATATCTACACCATGAACATCAACCAAAGAAAGATCAAATAAGAAATAGCAACAATGAGGAAGATCAGAAGATAAGAAACAGCCGAAGCAAGAAATATGTAAAAGCAAACGACAAAATGAAAGAAGTGGCCACAGAGAAGAAAACAAAGCAAAACCAATGTAACCCTAAACTGGTGAAATTACAAAAGCGTCCACGCACTAAGGAAGAAATGAAGAAGAGAGGAAAAAGGCAAATCTGAAAAAACAACGTGCCGAAAAGACAGAAATGCCCACGTTCCTTTTGTTATATCTATGTCTAAATCACCCAAAGTTTAATACTTTTTGTCCATTATACAGGGAAGGAAAAAAAAAACAAAGAGACGAGAAAATTGTTGAGCTTACCCTCAAAGTACGTTGGCCTGGATGTTTCATCCTTATTTTTGGTTAATAATCTTTTGACTAATATGGTTATTTGACTAAAAAGGATATTAATCAATAATAATGGCTACAAATTCAAATCCATTATAAGGATATTTGTCTTCTCTCTCCAAAAAAGAATATTCATAAATTATGAAATTTGCACACAAGTCTATAAAATAACCAGCAATGATATTTCTATACAAATTCGTAACCACCTGCATAAAAAAAAGGTACAACTAGAATAATATTATTTGAATAACTATAAAATGAACAGATTAAAAATATTGTAAAATAAAGAATATTATTATCAGAGGAATATCGTATTTAGAAAGTCGGAATTCAAATATATCACTTTGGTAGAAAATTAAGTCTAGTTTTCCAATCAAAATAAAACATATAAATAATTAGACTTTGAAAATGGTATACAGCCTAATTTATGCAAGAAATCTAAAAAGGTCATGAGAGGAACAATCCATTATTGACAAGATTTTTTGAGATACTCAAATTTAAAATAAACTCCCTTTAGTCTCTAACTTTTAAAATTTCACAAAAATAATACCAAGTTGCACTTTGTCATTACGTGAGAAAATTAGTCTATGCGTTATACAAGCATCAACATTTGGATAGAATTTTGTGTTGTCTAAGTGATATTACAAAGGAATATCTGTTTTGAAAGTTGGAATTCAAATATACCACTTATGTAGAAAAATTGTCTAATTTTGCCACCAAAATAATGCATATGAATATTTAGATTTCAAAATGGCATACAACCTAATTTATACAATAAATCTAAAGCATCATCAGAGGAATACCTCGTTATTGACAATATTTGAGTTGATAAAAAATGGTACTCGAATTTTAAAATAAACTCCACTTAGTCTCTAATTTTGAAAATGTCACGGAAACAATACCAAGTGGCAATTTATCATTACGTGAAAAAAATTAGTCTAGCTGTTATGTAAGCATTACCATTTGGCGTTATTTAAGGGGGCGTTTGGTAGAGGGATTCGTTCCCTGATTCGAATCATGATTCGTGGTTCGTTACAGTATTTTCTCTCCTAAAAAATACACGTAAATCGAAAATAGTTCGAATTACATGGTTTGAATTCTCCAACCAAACGAACCCTAAGTGAGGATAAAATTCATTTGTCTTTTTTTGTTTTTTTGTTTTTTTTTGCCTTAAAGTAAGGATAAAATTTGTGGGTCTCAAAAGATTCACAATCCCTTGCTTCTCCCTGCTCTACTCTTCCCAATCCACCCTACTAATTACCAAATAAGCCGACATTTCACTTTCCACGCCTCAATCCATCCATCCTTTAATCCTTTCTACGAAACACAATCTAGATGAAGTTTCCATCTTCCCCTTCTAAGGATTTATTTTTCTCCTTTTTTTTCATCAATGACTCGGATAAGAAAATGCCAAATTCATAGCTTCCACACAACCATGTTGCTAAATATCAACTACTTTTCTTTTTGCTTTTTGCTTTTTTTTTTTTTTTTTTTTTTTTTTTTTTTTTTTTTTTTTTTTTTCTCTTCATACCCCATTCTCTCATCTTGCTATGATATCCTCTTCAAAGTACCATTGTTACTGTCATACTAACAGTGACGAAGTTAAGATTTATTGATAATAATATTAAAATTTTCTTTATTAAGATATACGTAATAATTTGTGTTTATTAAATATAGAAAATTATTAATTTAAGAGAGTCTAATTTATACACGTACTTATTAAATTAAAATTAAAACTATTGTATTCTCCTCTCCCGTTCCGTCATTCCATATCAATAAAAAGACATCGAGCTCCTTTTTAGTTCTCAATCTACTTTTCTTTCCCAAGTTGCCATAACAAGCTTTTTATTGAGAAATGGTGGTTCGTTGTGGCACTGTAATAAAAAAAAAAAAAAGGGATTATAGATTATGAGATTTCCACTCCAACCTCTGTAAAGGGTATACATATCCCACTGTTGATTTAACAATGTATCACGTACACATGAAAAAAAAAAATGGTTTGGGTCGGTCTTGAAAAGTCTGGAATCAAAACGGTTATCTTTTGAAGTACCAAAAATAAAGTAAAAATTTATACTATGATAAATTTATGAGACTTAAGTTGAAATGATAAAACATTTTAAAATTATCTTAAGAATAGCAAAATTACACTTGATCTTTATGTTTTCTTTTAAAAAAATTTAAACTTTTTTTTGTTATATTTCAACTTTAATAGTAAATGTCTTATTTGATTCACCGTTCAAATTGTAGTGATTTAGTTTAAATTGTAGAATTTGAATTGGCGTTATTTGAATTGTGATTCAAATCGATATTTAGATAAAATCCGATATGTATTTGAATAAAGTGATGAAAACTGTCATTAAAATTGTAATAAATATTAAAAAACCTCATTGTAAATAACATATTTAAATATGCAATATGGATGAGAATTTGTTATTCTCTTTATTATGAACGCATTAAAAATTATCTCAATTAAAATTAAAGCGAAAAAGTAAAGATATTTTTTAAGCTTGAAGTTGAAGAAAGAATAAGTAAAAGTAAATTATTTCACTCAAATTCTTAAATTTAGGGGGGGGGGGGGGGGGAGCAATTTTAAAATTAAGGGTTTGAATTTGGGATTAATGGTTTGAATTGCATTCATTTTAGTTTTCTACCAAACATCAATTTAAACCTTGAACTACCACTTTTGAATTACCATCTGAATTGAATTTTTAGGTTCAAATGGTTGAAACAAACATGGGCAAAATTTGTTAGCATAAATTCCATTAATCATTCGAGGTGAGAACTTGATTTAAAAACTTGAGTTAAAAAGTGAATTTATGTGAGAGAAGATACTGAAACAGAAAATATTAAATTTAAATTTTTGTAATAAAATAATATAGCAAAAATTTAACTTGCGATTCAAACGAAGGAGATGAAGGGGCCTAAATTTATCATATTTACGAATTACTTTTCTGTTCACGCAGTTTTTTGATAAAAATGGCGACGTTTTGGTAGAATAAACCCCTCCCCTTTTTTATTTTTTCAAATCCTTTGTTTTATTTTTTATTTTTTTGTTTTTATTCTAAAAGTTATTTATTTATTTTTATTTTGGCCCTTTTTTGAATCTTTTTGAATCTTTTACCTTGATATTTTATTTTCTTTTCTATTTTGGTTCTTTTTGTTCTAAAATTAATTTTTTCACTTTAGACCTTCATTGACTATTTTCCCTTAATTTTGCCCCGAATCTTTTTTTTTTTGTTTTTATTTTTGTACATTTTACCTTAAAACTTATTTATTTCTTCATTTTAAACTTTTTTTTACCCTTCTTTTTTATTTTTACATTGAAACTTTATTTTTTCTGTTTTTATTCCTTTTACTCTAAAACTTATTGCTTCATTTTTATCTTTTCTTGACCTAATTTTTATTTTTGTTTTGCAACTTTATTTTTTCCCCTTTAATCATTTTGCCCTAAAATTTATTTATTTTTTGATTTGTACCTGTTTTTGACAATTTTTTCTTATTTTTACTCTGCAACTTTATTTTTTCCATTTTTATTTTTTTTACCCTAAAACTTATTTATTTCTTCATTTGAACCTTTTTTTACCCTTTTTTCTTATTTTCATCCTGAAACTTTATTTTGCCCCTTTTTGTTCATTTGCCTTAAACTTATTTATTTCTTCAGTTTAGTCATTTTTAACCTTTTTTTTATTTTTTCTTTCAAACTTTATTTTTTTCGTTTTGGTTCTCTTTTTTCTTAAATTTATTTATTTCTTCATTTAAATCTTTTTTACATTTTTTGACTTCTTACCCTAAAATTTTATTATTTTCATTTTAATTCCTAAAATTATAGTATTTCATTTTATATACTTTTAATAATAATACAGTAGTTAAAACTTAACATATAGGTTTTATTCGATTCGTCAGTTCAAGTTGAAATGTGATATTTTCTGAGAGCTATTGACCACGTGCTCTCAACTAATAAAAAATAATATATTCATCACGTGTCCTACCCGGCTTCCGGGCCCACCACGTGCCCCTTTCCGCAATTGGTTGCTTTCCTTGTGATTTGGCGGGCACGTTTGAGGTGACGTCACCTCTCATCTCCCCTCTAATTGCACAAAGTTTTCCAGTTCTGACACTGCACTCCCTAAAAAAAAAAAAAAGATTGAAAAAAACATCGATCGAACCCCACAAACAAACAGACAGAAAACCGAAAAATGCTGCGACTGAATCTCCTCCGACTCTGCGCCGTCGCGCGATCCCCTTCGCATTTCTCCGCCCTTCCACCTATTCAGGCAAAGTTTAGGCCGGCGATGGCGTTTTCCTCTTATATGACGTCGTCTCACTCCTCCGCCGGCAACAATCTCCTCTTCCGGCAGCTCTTCGAGAAGGAATCCTCCACCTACACTTACTTGCTCGCCAACATTTCTCACCCCGATAAACCCGCTCTGGTTTGTTCCCAAAAAAAAAAAAGAAAAGAAAAGAAAAGAAAAAAATGGTTTTTTTTTTTCTTCTTCCATTTTGTTTGTTCTTTTGACTTCTTTTTTAATATTTATTATGACATCTGATTGTTGGAATTCTTGAATGGAAGTCAAAATTGATTTCTTTCAGCGAATTCAAATGCATAGTCATAGGACCTAAGCTTGTAGTTGGTTATGGAATCAGTTTGTAGGAAATTTCCTGCCACACCAACTCCATCAATAATCGCGGATAAACAAGAAATCAAAGCCGAAGAAAAACACACCAAGATTTTATCGAGGTTCGGCCAATTATGGCTACGTCCTCACGAACTCCCCTCATGGAGTTCGATCTGTACGCTTATTAATTTCTCAGAAATTACAACTCTCAAATCTCACAAATCCCTCACCAGTACAAACACAAACTTTTTCCTGAGAAAATTACAGCAATAAACCCCAAGAGAAAAATCCCTCTCTCACTACACTTGCTCTTAACATTTCTCTCTCTAGTTTGTTACAACTGATGAACCAAATCTTAATTATAAAGATATCTCGAATTCTCTCTCAGCAAATTCGTTCTCAACTTCTCACACCAAACAACTTAAGAGTCTGTTATATATGCATAACACCAAAGGCAAGTCTTACACTAGCAACATGACACGTCAGCCTTCAATCAGATGATAGAAATTAACCACCAAATGCAATCTAAAATCCAAGCCACCTGATGTCTTTGACTTCCTCTGTTTCTTGAGTCTTTAATCTGAGAGCTTCACCAAAATAATACCTGATATTGAAATTGATTTTCAACAAGCTCCACCTCAGTTCCGATATGACTTTGAGTACAGACCATTTCCTTCCTTGAGGATCCATGCTTGCTTCACCTCATCAATCACCCATTGTCAAACACTTGCAAGTCAAAATAGCATTTGAACTTGCCAAGAGTGATAAGCTTTGTTCCCATGTCAGCTTGATTCTCCTCGGTAGGTGCCTTCTCAACTTTGATGACCTCTTCCTTAACTTCTTCAGTGGCTGCCATATACTCAGCTACAGTTATGGATAATGCCACTCCTTGAGACTTCCAGCCGACACAATTTTCACACACTTGAAATAAGTATGTTTTTGCTGACTTCCTTTCTCTATCACTAGCATAGTCAGAGGTAATAAATCCTTCAACCCCAATCTGATCACTATGCTTTACATATCGAAGTCCCAACTCTAAAGGTCCTCCAATGTATCTGATGAGCCATTTCATTTCTGACCAATGCCCTTTCTTCTCTGGGTTTGCCATAGCTCCATCCATAGAGAATTCTTCAACACTATTCTCTAAATACCCACTCTGACTCGTGATGTCAATTCCCAACATCTTCTCAGTAGATCTTACGTCTCTCTAGTCGAACTTAGACCCAAGCACATCCTCCACTTTGTAAAATTTTCCCTTCTCCTCCCCGATAAGTAGCATATCATAACTAAGGGAATCTGACTAGTGTTCCTGACCATCGTCATCATCAATGATCAATTCCTTTTTGTGGTCTCCATGTTCTGCACTATCAGGCTTGTAACCTTCTGCCCACATTCAACTTGCCCATGACCAGCCTTATCATGCTCCACCTGTTGCAACTCTACTGAGGTAGCTTCACCTGTCGTGATTCCATCTGTTGCAGTTCCACCTGATGTGGTTCCACCTTTTGCAGCTCTATCTACTGCGGTTCCAAACTTGCCATGGTTCCACATGTTGCAGTTCCACTTGATGTGGTTTCACTTGCTGCAGCTCCACCTGACTGGGACTCACTTCATTGGGCTCCACCGGACTGTGATCCAATAGACAGGACTCCACCGGAATGAGCTCCACCACGTTAGGATTATTCTCTTGACCGAGCATCATCAGAGTATCCTCCACCTGATTGTGTATCACTCTGATTGTGTATCACTCGGAGCTTCACCGAACTGAGCTCCACCGGACAGGGATTCACTATAGTATGATCTTCCATGGTACCTGCAGGGTTAGTACTCAAAGTGTCTCTTCCTGCAGTAGGGTTAGCTCCCCAGAAAAAGGAAAATCATTCTCATTAAAAGTGACATCCTTGCTAATTATAGTTTTAAAGCCATTACCATCCCTAACCCAGAGCCTATAATGCTGATAAAACTTCCATAGAAGTTATGGATATTCTCCCGTACTTTTTAGTTGTCTTGACTTCTCTAAACGAGTCCGATAGAGAATTTATCAAAATGATGGCTTCATTTTCATTACCCGAGTTAGCCAACTTGTTCATTCTCAAAACTCATCAAGATTCTGTTCTAGGCCTTTTGAAGTATCCATCTTAAAACCAGACAATCTTTCTTTCAAGAAAATCTTATTTGTCAAAGGTTTCTTTTGAAATAATTCATCCAATTTATTCCAAATCCTGGCAGGGGTATCTCCTTTATCAACAAGCCTAATAATAGAATCAACAAGATGGAAGATTATTGTATATGATGTTGTTCAAGCAACTCTTGCTTCTGATATTCCGAGAAGCCTTTTTAGAAATTTAACTGGGTCTTCAAGTGCCTCCAACGCCTTTTGTTGAACAAGAAGCCCTTTCACTTTTCTCCTCCATATTCTTGAAATCACCAGACCCATTGAATTTCTCAATGTCAACCTTCATGGTGCTCATGACGACGACGACCACAACAACAACAACTAGCCTTAATCTCAATTTAATTGGGGTCAGCTATATGGATTTTACTTTTTCACGCAGTTCTATTCGAAATTAAACTTTCATGATGACTGGGAAAAATTTATCAATTGCCGATTCTTGATTTCCCAAGCTCGATCTCTGGTCTCTCTTCGGTGAATCCGAATTCGCTTCAGAATCTTCGAGATCAAACATGCCAATTGCAGGCACTTGATCTTGAATGTTTTCCAATCTACCTCCTCTCGAATTTCTTCAGATCGATGTTGATGCTTCAATTACCAAAGCTCTAATACCATTGTAGGAAATTTCCTCCCACACCAACTTGATCAATAATCGCGGATAAACAAGAAATCGAAAGCCGAAGAAAAATACACCAAGATTTTATCGAGGTTCGGCCAATTATGCCTACGTCCTCACGAACTCCCCTCAAGGAATTCGATCTGTAGTCTTTTTAATTTCTCAGAGATTACAACTCTCAAATCTCACAAATCCCTCACCAGTACAAACAGAAACTTTTTGCCGAGAAAATTACAACAAGAAACCCCAGGAGAAAATTCCCTTTCTCTCACTACACTTGCTCTCAACCCTTTCTTTCTCTAGTTTGTTACAACTGATGAACCAGATCTTAATCATAAAGATCTCTCGAATTCTCTCTCAGCAAATTCGTTCTCAACTTCTCACACCAAATAACTTAAGAGCCTGTTATATATACATAACACCAAAGGCAAGTCTTCCACTAGAAACGTGACACGTCAGCCTTCAATCACATGACAGAAACTAACCTCCTGACATAGACAATAGCCACTGTATGCAATCTGAAATCCAAGCCACCTGATGTATTTGACTTCCTCTGTTTCTTGAGTCTGTAATCTGAGAGCTTCGCTAAAATAATATCTCATATTGGAACTAATTTTCAACGCCGTTCTAAATGGATCGGATGCTTTATCTTGCAAATGCGTCTACTGGGTTCTTTGTCATGATTATGCCTGAAATGGAAATGCATTTTAAGTAGGAAAATTATCTTATAACCTATTTTCCTGGAATGTGAATATTATGGAAAGCACGACAGTAGTTTGAGAAGAATAACTGCTGAAGAGAATAAGAAAGAACTTGTCATCTTTTGCAGAGCAAGCAAGCAAGCATATTTGCTACTGTCGTGCACTTTTTGTGTTTTCATTTTATCTAAGTCTACATGCTATAGTCTGACTTTCATTCCGCATTGGTACTGGTGCCTCACAGCAAATGTTAGGTTGTGTCCACTTATTAAACGTTAGGTTGCCAAACTTTTAGGGGACGTTTGGTATGCAGTAATCAGTAGAAATCATATTCTTGGGAAAGTGATAGAGGGTAATATGATTCCTAAGAATAATACATTATTGTGTTTAGTTCCATACATGAATCTTGTCTCAAATTCTCAGGAATAATACATTACTGTGTTTGGTTGTGCATAGGAATGTTGTGCATTAAAAAAAACCTTTATGGTTTCACTATATCTTTAATATGATTTCAGCACATTGAACAAGATCATCATTTGATCAATGAATGTCACCCAGCATTGCTGCCATATTAGAATTCTGGTGGATGTTGCTACTTCACAAATAATCATAACAACAAAAACTTGTAAAAACCGGGGAAAACGCCTGGGAGAAAGGACAATTTTCCTCAAGAAATTCTAGAAACAAGATATTTACAAATTCTGACAATTTTGTTATTTCCTTTGGCCTTTCAGAAAGTCAATGGCACATTGCTCTTCAAAACAACTTTATACAACAGAGTATTGCTAGTCTGCCCACCGAACCTTTGAAAAATCATGCCTTTCTTTCTTTTCTATCCCGGCAACAAAAGCTAATCCCAGTTGTTGCACTGCTCCACCATCTCGGCCACCAACCTAAAAAGCCAAATAAAAATAAGGTGAGTGAGTCGAGAGAGTGTGAAGTGTGAAGGAGAAGACGAAGCTCGAAATCTCAGCCATGGCAAACAACCAAGCAAGCTCTGAGATTCAACAGGCTAGATGGCGTGGTGGATCGGGCGGCGTGGTGGATCGGGCGGCAGTAGCGGCGTGGTATATCGGGCGGCGGCGGCGGCGACGGAAGAGATTCAACAGGCTGGACGAGATATGCGTATGGGCTGAGAAGAAATGGGTGAGAGAGATTTTGATTCCCGTGATATTACTTTCCTGGGAAAGTGAATAACACCTGTTAAAGTATAAAAAACTATTGTTGGCCCACCTCCTAATAGTTTAAGCTTTTGGGATGGATTGGTAAACTAACATGGTATCAGAGCGGGAGGTCCTGAGTTCAAACCCCCGTAATTGCACTCTTT